GCCATTAAGAGCTGAGAAGTTGACATGGTATCCCATCATCAATTTTATAACTACTTTTACCAACATAGTTACAGATCCAGCAGTGACTGAAGTCAGAACGGGAAGGAGCATTGGTCTTACCTGACACTCACCTTCTCAGACGGTTGTGGGAGAGTCCAAAGCGTGGGTTGACTCTTCATTCCTGCATTGACTGAGTCAACAGAATTTTCTAGCCACGCCCTTCCTGTTCCTCTTTCTCCCCAGTTATTTGATGAAAGACGTGGCTGAGTAAGGAAGTGTACTCTCCAATGACCTCCTTACCCCTTTGAAGGTCCGGGCCAAGAAATCCCAAGGACAGGATTTGGACTCTCCCGTAACCATCTGAGAAGGTGCATGTCAAGTAAGACCAACACTCCTGTTGTGAGCCAGGCCCAAGTAGGTAGTAATTGATGCAAACAGTTCCAAAACAAACAGACTTTATTAGAACAGCTGAGAATTAACTCATTCTCAGCGTCATAACACTTCATAACACAAATTCTTCAGTCTAATCACCAACTTTGGTATAATGAGGCAAACTGCCAAAGGCTTCTCTTGGCAAAAGTTCAAAAGCAGAAGAGAGAGACAAGAGATAAGTGCAGCAATACTATCAACATTGTTTTCCAACTAAGAGCCCAAATGCCATTGCTGGTCTTTTAAGCCTTATGGGAGGGGTCATCTCTTGGCCCTACTCCTGAGTTGTCCTCTTTGCTTTAGCTGCTCTTGCCTTCTGGCAGCTCTTCTCATACATGCACTAGGAACAGGCTCCTCCTGTTCCTCTGCTTCTCTAGTGTCAGCCTCTGGAGGCTCCGGAGTCCGCACATCACTCCCTGATGGCCCTGGCCCCATCTCTGCCTCTGACACAGAGCCCTCATCCAGGCCTTCCCCATCCTCCAGGACTGGCCCATGTTTTTCCTCAGCCTCATCGCTGTCCGACTCCGCTGCCAGCTCCACAGGCTGCTGGTGAACCACAACATTATCCCTCACTGCAGGGCCCTTCCCCTTGGTCTGACGATCCGGATGCGGCCATGACAGGAATTGATCATGGAAGGCTTTCACCAAGATAGGTGCATGCACAGAGGTCGCATCCTCCCAGGTGAAATCCTCTGGTCCATATCTCTCCACTCAATGAGGTGGCTCAGTGGCTAAGACACTGAGCTTGTCAATCAGAAAGGTCAGCAGTTCAGTGGTTCGAATCCCTAGTACAGGTTCTCTTGCATGAGCAGGCGGTTGGACTAGATAACTTTCAAGGTCCCTTTCAAGTCTGTTACTGTTAAAGATACTGGAACCGTCCTTTTAGCTACCGGAGTCCTGAATGCTGGCGACTTCGTACTCGAGTGGTTCATCTCCATCTCGTGGCACTGGTTGGGGATGGTCAGTGGTACTGGTTGGCGGAGTAGACAGCCTGGTCATTCTGGGACAAGGAGGGATCTATGAAAGACTGGGTGGACTCGCATTGAGCGTGCAAGGTCAGGCGGTAGGTAACTGGGTTAATAACCGCCTCCACAGGGAACGGACCAAGGTACTGGTGGTCTAGCTTCTTGACCGGCCGGTCTGATGGAAGGTGCCTGGTGGACAACCAAACCCAATCCCCCACAGCCAATGGCGGCATCACCCACCGAGATCAGTCCGTGACTCTCTTATAGTCCTCTTTGGCTTTCTCTAGATACCATTGCACCCACTGATGAACGGCCTGCAACTCGGACAGATAGTCATCAGCCACCAGTACTGGGGAGTCAAGTTGCATGAGGGGAAAGAACGGAGGATGATATCCCATATTAGCCAGGAAAGGAGTCGTTTGCATGGAGGTGTGCTGTAAGTTGTTGAACGCAAACTCTGCTACTGCCAAATAGTCCGACCAATTATCTTGTTTCTGGTTCACGAAGCAGCGCAAGTATTGCTCCAGAATGCCGATAACTTTCTCAGTCCCACTTTCAGTTTCCGGATGATGTGCCAATGACAGTCAGATTTTCACATCTAAGACTGTCATCAGCCCTTTCCAAAACTGGGCTCTAAATTGAGCCCCACTGTCTGAAATGACAGATAGGCCATAGGTAACCCCCGACATGGAATGAAATGCACCATCTTTGTCAGCATGTCCATCACCATGAACATGGTCATGAATCCAAAAGACGGAGGCAAATCTGTCAAGAGGTCCATGGAAATGGGACCCCAGGGTCTCTCTGGTGTCGGCAATGGCTGGAGCAGCCCTGGAGGGGCTCCCGTTGCTGACTTGGCCTGTCGGCAGCGAACACAGGATGTGACATAAACCTGGACATTGTGTCACAAAGCGGGGCCACCAGAAAGTGCGGAAAACTAGATTTAGTGTCTTAAAGAGGTCGAAGTACCCCGCTGTAGGATTATCATGGCACTGCGACAAGATAAGTCCCTGGAGCGGCCCCACTGGCACGTAGAGCTTGTCTTGGTACCGCAAGAGTTCCTCATGAAACGTCCATGGAGAGGTGGGCCCTACCTCTTCCTTCTGTTGCTCCATGTAAGCATCGTGCCGCTGCGCTTCCCGTATCTGAGCCTGTAAATCCACTGGTTCCTGAACCATGGAGAAAGACTCTACAGGCAACACTGTCTGGAGCGGAAGCGGTTCTTCAATGTGGGAATACTCCAGTTTCCACGAGAGCGCATCCGCCCTTTGGTTGCGACCATTGGGGATGTACATCATGTGGAAATTGAAACGGGCAAAGAAGAGGGACCACTGAATCTGTCGTTAGTTCAGTTTCCGGGTGGCCTGTAGGAACTCCAAGTTTTTATGGCCCGTCCGGACTTCAATTTGATGCCGGGCCCCCTCCAGAAGATGTCTCCAGGCCTCAAACGCTATCTTAATGGCCAGTAACTCCTTCTCCCAGATGGTGTAATTGCGCTCAGAAGGGTTGAGCTTCCGCAAATAATATGCATAAGGGAAGAGAGTACCGCCGGATGCGCGAGCCTGGAGCAACACCGCACCAACAGCAACATCTGATGCATCTGCTTCCACCACAAACAGATGGTAGGGGTTAGGATGCTTCAAGATAGGCTCCTTCATGAAGGCCTGTTTCAAGGCCTGGAATGTTTGCTGCTCAGGGGTACCCCACTGGAACGGGACCTTTTTCTGCAGAAGCCAAGCGAGGGGCGTGGTCAAGGCAGCAAAGCCAGGGATAAAGGTCCAATAGTAGTTGGCGAACCTGAGGAGACACTGGACATCCTTCACTCGCCGAGGAGGTTGCCAATTACGCAAAGACTCCACCTTGCTTGGCTCCATGGCAATGCCCTCGGGAGAGATGCAATGCCCCAGGAACTTGATGGTGGACTGGAAAAACTGACATTTCTCCAGTTTAGCATACAGATGATACTCCTGAAGACATTGCAGGACCAGGCGGAGGTGCTGTTGGTGGCTCTCCCGGGAAGGAGAGTAGATCAGAATGTTGTCTAAGTAAATCATGACAAACTTGTCCAAGAGGTCCCTAAAAATGTCATTCATGAAATGTTGGAAGATAGCAGGAGCATTGGTCAGCCCAAATGGCATGACCGTATACTCAAAATGTCCGTAACAGGTGCCAAACGCTGTCTTCCATTCATCCCCAGGACGAATCCAAACAAGATTATAAGCCCCTCGCAAGTCCAATTTAGTGAACACAGTAGCCTCCCGAAGCCATTCCAAGAGTTCGGGAATAAGGAGCAGAGGATACCGGTTGTGCACCATGATGGCGTTTAACTTGCAGTAGTCGCAACAAAGCCACAAGTCTCCGGTCTTCTTTTTCACGAACAGGACCGGGCCAGACAATGGCAACGATGAAGGCCAGATAAAATCCCGAGCCAGGTTTTTGTCCACAAAGTCCCATAACGCGGCCAACTCAGAGTCTAAAATTGAATACAAATGCCCCACTGGGAGTGGCACGTCCAGAATCAAATCAATGGGGCAGTCATATGGCCAATGTGGGGGCAATTGGTCCACCTCCTGCTCACTGAAAACATTCACAAAGTCCTCGAGATCGGAAGGCAAGGACACCCCAGCTGGACCCAGCAGCTGGCCTGTGCAGACTTGGCGGGTGTGGTCCACACATTGCAGGCTCGGAAAAGCGATGAAGTTCTGGGACCAATAGATCTGCGGGTCATGTGTCTGGAGCCAAGCCAAGCCCAAAACCATGGGAAAATGCAGGCTGGAGGTAATATAAAACTGAATGGCCTCCTCATGAGACACGATGGTCAGGTGCAAGGGTTGCGTGGTGGCCGTAATAGGCTCAGACAGAAGCATCTGGCCATCAATAGTCTCCACGAGAATGGGAGGATCCACTGGACACTGAGGGACTGCATATTTGGCTGCAAATGCCGCATCCATAAAGTTAGTTGTAGCTCCGGAGTCCACCAAGGCGTGAGCTGGAATCCCCTGCAGACTATTGGACAGGAAGACTTTTGCCACCAAAATCAAGTGCCGGGGGGGTGGCATCTGGACTCCACGTCTGCTGGGTGTGCTTTGGTATTGGTGCGTGCCTGACCCAGGGTCTCCCCTCGATTGGGGTCAAGGCGTTTCCTGACAGGGTTTTCTGTGGCTTTGGGGCAGGCCCACTCCCCTCGTTGCTTCTTTGGGCAAGAGGCGACCATGTGCTCAGGTTCCCCGCAATACAAGCACAACCCCACTGATCGTTGTCTATTTTTCTTGGCCACCGACAGACAGGGTCGGGCTGCACCTATTTCCATGGGCTCCTCCATGGAGCTGGGGTATCACTCCTGACTGCAACCACATGGGTTTCCTGGCAGGCACGGCGACTGGTCCGTATCTGCAAGTGGGCGTCAATCCTAAGGCACAGATGTACCGGGGCGTTGAGGGTTGGAGGGATATCAACCCAGATCAGCTCGTCCTGCAACTCCTCCAATAAGCCATCCTGGAATGCATCCATGAGGGCCGCCTCATTCCAGGCCAAATCCTGGCTAAACAGCCAAAACTCGCTGACATATTCCTGGAGCAGTTTCCGGCCCTGCTTCAAGGTCTTCAGTCATCTGATGGCTGTCTGCATTTTGATGGGGTCTTCATACATAAGTCTGAAATTGTCCAACAGAGGACTAGCCTGGACCACCAAGGGTGTGGTCCAGCGAACTGCAGAGCCAGAGAGCAGGCTTAGTACAAACCCCACTTTATCCCGGTCAGTGGAGAAATATTCCATTCTCAGGCTGATGAAAAGCTGGCATTGTCCCATAAAAACAGGAAACATGGCTTGAGTGCCATCAAACTTGTCTGACATGGCAACATGACCTTTTCTACGGGGAGGAGGAGAAACTCTAACTTGGAGCTGAGCCATCTGTGCAACTAACAAAGCAACTTGCTGCTGCAGCTGCGCATTCTTGGCATGGAGCTGCTTCATTGTGATAGAGGTTTGTTGATAAGTATCCTCGTTTGGTCAGAAAACAAACTGTTGTGAGCCAGGCCCAAGTAGGTAGTAATCGACGCAAACAGTTCCAAAACAAACAGATTTTATTAGAACAGCTGAGAATTAACTCATTCTCAGCGTAGTCCAAACTAAATTAAAACAAACTCTTCATAACACAAATTCTTCAGTCTAATCACCAACCTTGGTATAATGAGGCAAACTGCCAAAGGCTTCTCTTGGCAAAAGTTCAAAAGCAGAAGATGCCAACAAGAGATAAGTGCAGCAATACTATCAACGTAGGGCCTGGTGGCTCAGCAGACTGATAGCATTGTGATTAACACCAGCTGTCTGTAATTACTGTAAGTTTGAATCTCACCAGGCTCAAGGTTGACTCAGCCTTCCATCCTTTCTAAGGTAGGTAAATTGAGGACCCAGTTTGAGGACCCAGTTTGTGGGGGCAATAAGCTGACTTTGTATAAATATACAAAAGTATGAAGGCTATTGCTTAACGCATTGTAAGCTGCCCTGAGTCTCTGGAGAAGGGCGGCATATAAATCAAATTTTAAAAAACAAACAAAAAAAAAATCCCGTTGTTTTCCGACAAAGAGCCCAAACGCCGTTGCTGATCTTTTAAGCCTTCTCATACGTGCATTAGGAACAGGCTCCTCCTGTTCCTTTGCCTATCTACTGTCAGCCTCTGGAGGCTTCAGAGTCCGCACATCACTCCCCGATGGCCCTGGCCCTATCTCTGCTTCCGATGCAAAGCCCTCATCCGGGCCTACCCCAGCCTCAAGGACTGGCCCATGTTCTTCCTCAGCCTCATTGCTCAGCTCCGCAGGCTGCCAGCGAACCACAAAAAGCTCCTTCTCCAGATCGGCTGCAGGAGAGTCTAAAGTGTGGGACATATCAAAGATTATTATTGTCCCAGGGGTGCCACCTCTTCGTCCAGAGATCCACCCATCCTGTGTACCCACTGTAACACCCTCCTGCCAAAGGACGCATCCACAGATGCGAAGGTGTCTAATCAGTAGTGTTTAATGAAGGGAGATGGTGATGACTAAGTGGCTGCCCTGCAAATATCCTCAATGGGAGCCCAAGTCACCCATGCCACCGTAGTGGCAGCACTCCTGGTCGATTGAGCAGTAATGCCCCTAGGCACCTGCCTTGCCTGGCTCTCATAAGCAGTAGCTATGCATGCCCTGAGCCATCTGCCCACAGTGGAAGGAGTGGCCTTAGTTCCCAAAGAAGATGGTTGAAAGGATACAAACAAGGACTATGACTTGTGAAAAGGCAATGTCCTTTTGATGTAAATTTTGAGGGCCCTCCGCACATCTAACTTGTGCCACTTCTTTTCTAAATCCTGTGTTGGTCTTGGACAAAAATCAGAAAAACTAGCTCCTGGGCCCTATGAAACCATGAGTTCACTTTTGGTATGAATGAGAGGTCCAGCCTCAGAACTACTCCATCTGAATGGAAAATTCATAAGTCTTCCTGAACAGAGAGAGCTGCCATCTCTGATATGCGTCTGGCCGAAGTAATGATTGATATTTTCTGGCAATTTGCCTCCCTGGTCATCCCGTGGGCACAATCCAGCTGCAGTTGGTGTGAATGTAGCCTCAGGGGTCTGGCTTATAGCCCCAGGGTCCTGTTGCCAGCTACTAGGAGCTATGTATGTAAAGGGATCAAATTCCTGCTCTCTGTTGCCTTGTAAAGACAACTGTGGAGACAGCTCTCCCACACCCTCTGGAGGCTGGGTTTGCAAAGCTGCAGCATTGGTAACAACCAACAGTTCAGCAGAAAAAGGGTGGGAGACTGTTGGAATTGCAGGGAAAGAGATCAACCCTCCTTCCAATTCAGCTTGCTTTTTTTCAGCCATAGCAATCCATTTTTCCAGCACACTCTGTCTTCTCTCTGCATCTTTTTCTGCAGCTTTAGAGATCTTCTTAGCAAAGGGCCATTTGCCTCGTCTAGTTACTCAGAATTTGCCCGCTGGTGGGGACCCCACAGATGTTCCAGGGATTGCATGGGAGAGATCTCCCTGCTCTGGAGATGCCCTATCAGCCATCCTAGACCAGGGTAGATGCTTAGTGCTTCAGAAAGGCAAAGCAATTAAAGCGGTAGCAGCAGTGCCAGGAACCCTGGGTTAGCCTGCTCACACGCTGGCAGCTTCCTCCAAAGCCCGCAATTTAGGCAGCAGTGCTGGACAAACTCAGGTTAGCCAGCCAAGGCTCGACCACCACGAGCCACTGATGAAAGCTAGCCTTTCCAGCCGGACTGGATTAGCTTGCACTCCCAGTGGGGATCAGGTTGGCAGGTTTCTTCTGTGTTGGGCGATTGGGTCCCCAATCTGCCCTAATTTGAATCGGTGGCCTTCCCAGCAGATCTGGGGTAGCTCATGCCTCTTGGGGTGGTGGTGTTCAGGACAGCAGAGCCCCTGGGATTCTTCAGGATAAATGTATCCGATGGCTGCCTGAGCTTGTGGCAGTGCAAATGCTGCCTTTCCTTCCCCCTCTGCTTGCTAAGTCACTTTCTAACTCCCCAAAATGAAGAAATTTGCAAATAAAGCTCACATGGAGAGTCCAATATTCACCATTGACTGAACACATCCACTCTGCAAGGACTGAGTTCTATAACAGGGGAGAAAGAGGAACAGGAAGGGCATGGCTAGAAAATTCTGTCGACTCAGTCAATGCAGGAAGGGTCAACCCACGCTTTGGACTCTCCCGCAGCCGATCTGGAGAAGTGATACGTTCTAAACAAAAAGGCTTTTTTTAAAAAGACTCCAATAACTGGAACTCATAGTTAAGGGCACTTTCACATAACTACTATTACTACTCCATGGCAATAACTTCCCTCACTCCATGCCAAATAAAAAGAAAATAAATTTAAAACTCTAACTAGCCTGATGTGCTGAGCTCCTGAAGAGATGACAAGAACTCTTGCCAATGTCATCCCTGCTAAGGAATTCCTCTGGAAGGACCTACTAGAGTGAATGAAGCTTAAAAGCATTAGCTCAGCTGCCAGACCTCTTCAACACTGTGAGAACACTGGCATCTAGAGATGATTTTGAATTGTTGCAGAGTCTTTGGGTGGAAATGTCCTTAGCATAACTTTAGGAGCAGTGGTGGGATTCTGGGGGGTCTAGGGGGTTCGGCCGAACCCTTTGTTAAATTGCTGGCTTGCCCCGCCCCTTGCCCCACCCCTCCGCACTACTATTTATTCCCAATAAATGGGGTGAGCGAGCCAGCAATTTAACAAACGGTTCGGTGTTTTTTTTGTAATTTATTGGCCCCGCAGCACACCGAACCGTTTGTTAAATTGCTGGCTCACCCGCCCCTCGCCCCGCCTCCCACCCACGCGGCGCCAGCCTACCGTAGCCAGGGGTAGGCAATTGTGGCTCTTTTACAACCTGTGGACTTCAACTTCCAGAATTCCTGAGACAGCTTGGCTGTCTCAGGAATTCTGGGAGTTGAAGGCCACAGGTTGTAAAAGAGCCACAATTGCCCACCCCTTCCCTAGCCTGAGTTCCGCTGCCTGGGATCCACGTGGGCTGCCATGTGGTTCCCCACCGGCTCCGGATGCAAGAGAGCAGGATGGAGAAAGCAGCTTCCATGCCTTCACTCACCCTCACTCTCTGCTCTGTTGGATCGCCGGTCTTTCGCTTACCCCGCCCACTCCCAATCTATTGCTGCCTCCGGAGTCCCAGCTGATGGCTAGAGGAAAAAAAACTGCTTAAATTCTTGCCGCGGGGCTTCAAAGGGCCGCCCTATAGCCAGTGGTGCAGCCGAACCGTTTGTTAAATTGCTGGCTTGCCCCGCCCCTCCATACCACTATTTATTGCCAATAAATAGTGGTGGGCGAGGGGCGGGCGAGCCAGCAATTTAACAAATGGTTCGGTGTTTTTTTGTAATTTTATTGGCCCGCGGAGCTTCAGCATAGGCTAATTAGCCCCTTGATTCTATCAGCCTCCCGGCTCTCAGCTGATGTGTCTCAGTTGTTTTGCTCAGGGCTCTGCTGCTTCCTTGCAAAGAGTCCTGGAGCAGATTTTTTTTCCCTTAGCTCTGCTGAAACACGAAACTGAAACTTGCTGTTGCTGCAAGGTTGGAAAATTAGGCAGGCAGAATTCTTTTCTTTTTCCTCACCAAAAAAGGTAGGTGCAAACAATGGGAAATTTAGGGAAAAAGAGGAGAGTTCAGGATTTTAAAACACAAAAGAAAAAAAGCTCTATTTAACTAGGGAATTGTAATAATTGAGATACTATTAATTGTATATTTCTGAAAGCAGAAATGGTTAAGTTGTGGTTTGGAGGAATATATGGGGGAAATTATTTGGTTTATTATTATTGGTAAATATAATTAATTGATTTGTAAGAAATTGGATTGCATGGAAATAATTGGAATATTCATGTTCATATTGATTAATATACAAAAAAGGTAGTTATATAACTAATTGATTTATATTAAAATGTTGAATTTATATTAAACAACTAATATTACATAATTAACCAATGTGAGGATGGATATAAAAATAGATGACAATGGGAAGGGGTATAATATAGAATAGAAGGGAAAAATTGAATTTGATTAAGATTAGAGATGAGGATGAAGGGTAATATTGGTTTTTTACAAAAATAGATGAGGAATAAATATGGCAAAAAGGAAATATAGAAATTGTAAATTTAATTGAAATGACTAAACACTGTTTAAATTTGTGAACCGGCCAAATACTCTGTTCAAAGAAAATACATTGTATGTTTGTATGTGTGTTTCTAATTATTGTTATTTATTCATATTTGTTCTCTTTTATTCTTTAAAGTTTAACAATTCATTCTTTATCTTAATATCTTTATATTTGTTTGGGGTTGGCTTTCTTCCCTTTCATCTTTTTTATTGTACAGCAATCTTTCTCCTCAAACCTACCACCTCTCTCTTTTCTTTCCTTCTTACTTTCTCTTCCTCCCCCTCTTCTTCTCCTCCCTACTTCTCTTCCTTTCT